CAAAGAAGAAGTTCAAAGATTAACAGGGAGAATTGCGACTATGGGAAGATTCATATCAAAATCATCAGAGAAGTGTTTCAAATTCTTCTCAGCTCTAAAGAAGCAGGATCATTTTGAATGGAATGAGGAATGTCAACAAGCACTTAGGAATTTGAAAACTTACTTATCAAATCCACCTTTATTGGCAAAACCAAAGGCTGGGGAAAAGCTACTCATCTACCTCGCTATTTCGGAAGTGGCGGTAAGCGCTGTTTTGGTCCGAGAAGAGCAAGGTAAACAATCCCCTATCTATTACGTAAGTAAATCTTTGTTAGATGCAGTGACGAGGTATCCTCAATTACAAAAACTTGCCCTTGCATTAATCATGGCATCTAGAAAGTTAAGACCTTATTTTCAGTGTCATCCTATTATTGTGGTAACTACCTACCCTTTACGTAACATATTACATAAGCATAAGTTATCAGATAGGTGAGCTAAGTGGGCAATAGAGTTAAGTGAATACGAAATTGCATACCAACCTAGAACTGCTATAAAATCACAAGTATTAGCAGATTTCGTGGCTGATTTTAGTTATGGAATACAGTTAGAAGCAGAGAAAGAATTGCAGGTGTTCAATGGAGCTAACCCAAGAACTTGGACTTTATTCACTGATGGCTCATCTAATGTGAGAGAAGCAGGTTTGGGAGTGTATTGGTACCACCTATGGGTGAAACCATTCGACAAGCTATCAAATATCATTCCATAACTAACAACGGGACAAAATATGAAGCTATGATTGCAGGTTTAGAATTGGCAAGGGAGCTTGGAATAAATCAGATTATAATCAAAAGTGATTCACAACTCGTAGTTAATCAAATGCTGGGGACTTATACAGCCAGGGAAGCAAGGATGCAGCAGTATTTGGAGAAAGTACGGGAATTGATAAAACAATTTCAAGATTGGAAAATTAGATAAATACCCAGGGACGAAAATCTTGAAGCAGACGCCCTAGCTAATCTCACATCTGCGGTCGACGTGGCAAACGATGCAAATGCCTTAGTGATACATTTATTTCATTTAGTTCTTGATCCTGATGTTAACGAGGTAAATTTTAATAATTTAACTTGGGATTGGAGGAATGAAATTGTTGCTTTTTTGCAGTACGGAACCGTTCCTGATGACAAGAAAAAGGCTCTTGCGCTTCGAAGAAAAGATGCTCGGTACTGCTTAAAACAAGGCAATTTATATCGTAAAATATTCGGTGGTTCATTAGCAAGATGTCTTGGACCTTCGCAAACAGAGTATGTAATGAGAGAAGTACACGAGGGTCATTGCGGGAATCACGCAGGTGGAAGATCACTGGTAAGAACCTTGATTTGTACAGGTTATTACTGGCCTAAAATGGAAGAGGAGGCAGAAAGTTTCGTTGCCAAATGTGATAAATGCCAAATGTACGATAACAATATGCATAGACCTGCGAAATTGTTACATCTGTTCATTGCACTATGGCCATTTATGAAATGGGGAATGGATATTGTGGGTCCATTACTGCAAGCAAAAGGGCAGGTAAAATTTTTGCTTGTTCTCACTGATTATTTTACTAAATGGGTAGAGGCAGGCACCTTCAAATAGGTGCGAGAAAAGGAAGTTAGAGATTTTATTTGGAAAAATATCATATGTCGATTCGGCGTACCAAAGGAGATCGTATGTGATAACGACCCTCAATTAATTGGAGCTCAGATCACAAAATTTTTTCAAAGCTGGCAAATTAAAAGGATTACGTCGACACCATACCATCCAGTGGGTAATGGGCAGGCAGAGTCAACAAACAAAATTATCATTAACAATTTGAAGAAGCGTTTACAAGAAGCAAAAGGTAACTGGCCTGAAGTATTACCTGGGGTTTTATGGGCATATCGAACAGCTGTTAAAACAAGTACGGGCGAAACACCATTCTCGTTGGTTTACGAAGCCGAAGCCTTGATTCTAGTTGAGATAGGAGAGCCGAGCACATGGTTCATGCAAGCAATGGAGGAGTCTAATAGCGAAGAGATGCGGTTCAATCTTGATTTACTCGAGGGAAGAAGAGAAGCTACATTAATAAGGATGGCAGCACAAAAGCAAGTCATTGAACGATATTACAACCGAAAAGCGCGCCTCAGATTCTTCAAATTGGGGACTTCGTGCTTAAAAAGATCTTTCAATCTACAAAGGTAACTAACTCAGGGAAATTAAGTCCAACATGGGAAGGACCCTACAGAATTCGTGATGTTGCAGGAAAGGGAGCATATGAACTGGAAACAATGGATTGCAAGATACTGCCTTCACATTGGAATGTTGTTCATTTGAAGAGATACTATTTCTAAGGAAAACCCACGGTCAGGTATAACCATTTTAAATTTTATTTTTGAATTATTAATTTTACTAACGATTTTAGATGATAGGCCAAAAGCTAGACCGTACTAAATGATGAGTCACGACCTGTAAGGCACACAGAGTAACCTAAAATTCCTGGCCTAGGGTTACAATTATTCTGATAGAAACGAAAACGGGTTATGCAGTCTTCATCTATAATCGTCCCTCCGAGTCCCGTATGTTTTTTCTTTTCAGGAAAAGGACCAAGATGAGAGAAACAAACAAGTGCTCGAGGCTTCAAACTTCAACGCTCAAACACTTGGGGGACTACATAATATACACAGACATATGTGTAAAAATCAAGCAAAGATTTGAGGAAAAAATCAAGCTTAGAAGAAACAAGTGCAGAGCAAAAGTTACGAAGTTACGGCATTTATAACATTCACCATAGTGTTCTTTCCCATTAAGACAATGAAGAGCTATGGCATTCATCATAGTGTTCTTTCTCATGAGAACAATGGAGTCACTTCTCAAACCCTTCCTAATACATGGAGTTAGGGTAAATAACTATGTACTGAAACGGGTTATAAGGAAAAGCCTTGTGTGTATTATTTTTTTTTTTGTAAAAATCTGTTACAAGAAAAAGAGTTACGAGAATGCTATAGATGTAATCCAAATACATGTAAAGTATTATTCAAAAACTTGTCAAGGTTCATAAATAAAAACATGTCAAAGTTATTTCAAACAAAACATGTGTGTTCCTATTCCTTTCATCGTATTATAACACCATTATGAAGTTGAGACGTCTTCTTCATTAAGTGTCGAAAATATAAAAGGGCTCTCTTTTATAAAACTCATGTTATTAAGTCATGAGATTAATCATAGAGAATTTTCAAGGGATAAAAAATAAGCTATTCTTTAATTCCTTAAAAATAAAAGGCAAGAATAGAACGAATAGCAGTAATAAAAACTTCTTAATATATTTAAAATCTAAAGACAAAGTATAAACTTAGTCATCAAAATTGTTTTGTATAGATGCCCCATAATAAGAACTGGGGACTTTTTCCTTCTAAAAAATCTTTAAAAACAAACTAAGGGTTTGATCATTATCTTCCAAAAACAAAAAAAAACAAAAAACCAAGTTAAGTTATAAAAACTGGTCACTGGGAGGCAGGAGCATCAGAAGTAACGATGCCAACATCAGAAGGAGCAGCCACAAGAACGGTGTCAACTTGACTTGAAACAACAGGCTCGATGAGGTGAACAAGAGTCACGGAAGCTTCACCTTCGGGATCTTGATCCACGGTAGCTTCAACTTCAGGAATTTGAGCCAAGGCTACATCAGTTTCGGGAGCTTCAGCCACGGGAGCCTCAATTGCGGGAGATGGAAAGTCCAGTGGTTGTTGAGCCTTCTCAATAGTCTCCATGACTTTAGCCAATTCTGACTCTAAATAAAAGTTCTCTTGGCTAGCCTCGGTTAAGGCATCACGACGAGAGTTCAGAAAAGTCCAACTTACCTCAACAACCATTTTATCCTCGAGAAGCTCGTAGTCTCTTTCCCAAACAACAATTTCACTTTTGAGTTCTTTATTTTCAGCCAGGGTGGAATTGAAGGAGATTTGAAGAGAGGCATTGGAACTTTCCAAAGCATGGATTTTATCAGTAGAGGCCCTCAAGTCCATTTGAGTTTGAGTCAAGATCTGTGCAAGATTCTTTTCATAAACCTCCTTTTGACTCAGAAGTGCTTTCAACTCTTTAATCTCCTCATCTGCCTTAGATAGCTGATCTAAGAAAGAAGACTCAAGGCATTCTTTGTCCTTCTCTGCTTGGCTTGAAGAAGCCTTGGACACTGCCAATTCCAAAGTCAATGCACGCACCTGCTGCTCCAGGTTACTCCTATTCTCTTGCATATCTTCAATGGCAATTTGTGCACTATCAAATTGCCCTTTCCAGTTAGCCACTTCTAGTTGAGCTTCACGAGTCACTTTCTCGGCCTCAAGAATTATTTTCTCAGAGTCACAGACCACCTTTTCTAAAAGAGAAATTTTGCCCATCAACTCTGTACCAATGAGGTTGGCCGGAAAATAATAAAGAAGGAAAGTAAAAATCCAAGAGTAAAAAGAAAAAGAAAATTTTTTAAATAAAGGAGGAAAATACCTTCAAAGTAGCATGAACAATGTCGTTCATCAAAGTCAAGCAGCTATGGCTATTCATCTTCTCTTTTTTCAATTGAGCTAATTAAAGGCTCAAGCCAAACGTCTGCCTGACCAGATTTTCTCAAAAGGCTGCTATTGGCGGGAACTTCAATAGTCACGCTCCTCATGACAGTAGTTCTGCTCGTAGAACCAACTTCAGTATGATGAACAATAGGAGGGGGAATAACCAAAGGAGGAGCCGGAGAAGAGGTGAATGCAGTAGAAGAAGGAACGGAAATAACTGGGGCCGGTAAAGAAGGAATCACAGGCACGGGTGATGAAAAAGTCGATAAAGGTACTTTATCTAAAACAAGCCCGAGATCACCACTATCAAAACCACTAGCAAAAAGTTGGTCAGTGGATTCACGAGTATCTTGGGGGGTAACATCGTCATCAGAGACGAGATGAACAGGCTCGGCAGAAGAGGCACGGGGAGAGACTTCAGCCTCATCATCGAACATAACACGTCTCTTAGCCCTTAGCCTTTATCAAAGAGCCATTTTTATCTTCCTCCTCGGAATCTTCTTCAGCGGTTTTCCTCTTCACAAGTATGTCCTGAGCTTTCCTTAAAGTGAGTTGAGCTCCTGTAGAGGTTCGAGAGGCCGCAACTGCTTCGGCAGAAATGCCTCGAATTAAAAATCCTGACAAAAAGAAGGATGAAAATTAAGGCAATAGATAGAAGATTTTACACACGAGAAAATATAAAAAAAAACTCTTACCATGAGTTTTCACTTTCCAACCGTACTGATTGGAGATAGATTTCTAGGACCTGGCCTCCATAGGCTCGGCCTTCAATAATTTGTCTACCTAACCACGAAAGTTGGGAACTTTATCCACAACTCCTATGATTGCTACAAAAAGGAGAGGGAGTGAAAATTAAAAAAATATCAAAATTGAAAGAAAAAGGTACGAGAAGAATAAAAGACTTACGTGCAAAATTTCATTTCTCGGGAAAAGGAACGTTTTCTTCACCCACTAAACCAACAGTGGGGGCAGCAACGAATCGAGCATACCAGCCACGATCTTTATCACCTTCTGGGCTTAATAAAACCCTTTTACCTATAGCTACTAAAGTAAAAGCACCGATGCGATAGAGCCTGGGGGAGTAAAGATGACTTAGATGAGGAAAAGTAAAATCAACACCCGCCTTGTTTGATAAATGTCTTAAGCAAGCCACAACTCTCCAAATGAGTGGGCCGATATGTGCTGAACAAACTTGGAAAAAATGGCAAAAATCAAGAATTACTGGATCAATGGCTGGTTTAAATCCTAGAGTAAAGGGATAAGTATAAACGAAAGAAAAATCAGTCATATAAGAAGTAATTCTTTAATTTGGATTAGGAACAACAATTGGGAAGTCACTATTCAATGACAGTCGTTACAAACTATGGGGGTTAAAACCTCTGTAATCATGGTAGGGTAGGTATCGACACGACTCAACTCAGAAACTTGTTTTTGAAGTGATTCTCTGTCATGGGTAAAAGATAAGTCGCTAGGAACTATCTCTTCTATCAAAGGTTCTTGTAAATGTTCAGAAATTTCTTTACCCTTAGAAGATGATTTCTGAGTAAAAGAACCTCTAATTCTAGAGGGAGTACCAGAACTAGAGGAAGGTATAGAAGAACCAGCAGAAGAACTGCCGCCGCGGGCAAACCCTAAACTACGGAGTCTACCACCCCTACCCCTTCTATGTCTACAGGGGCATTGGGGAAGTTATCCGAGATAGGAACTCTTATAGGGTTAGGATTTGAAAAAGACATGATGAAGAAGGTCGAATTAAGGAAGAAGTGAACAGTATCGAAGAATAAAGTATTCAATAAAATTTTATGAAGAAGAGGATAAGAGAAAAAGGTTATATTTATGCGAGAAAACGACCGTCAAAGGCAAGAAGTGTAATGATGGAAAGCCTATAATAAAGGCAACTAGCTCTTCGTGAATAGTGGATCTGTAAAAGCCTTGAAAAAAGGCTGCAAAACTGCAGAGCCGATGGGAGAATGACACGTGTATAGAGCATTTAATAGAAGAGACAATTGAAGCGTCAATGTTGTCATAGCATTAATGATGACATAATTCCCTTTTTAATGAAATCCACTTCCCAAATATTTAATTGATAAATAAATGGAAAGTGGGGGGATTATCTGTATTGGGAAAAATTGAGTTTGCATATTGGAGGTGACGTGTCATGACACATGGATTAGTCAAATGGTCAAAGAGTTATAATTAGCCAAAAGGCACGAGCAACAATAGATACGAGAGAAGGTGATGAAAGAGGCACGGGCAGTTATTCAAATAGTTCGGCGCCCGTATCTATTTAAGTCATTTAAAGCTCAAAGATCAAGAAGAATCAAGGAAATGAATCTGACAACGCATGAGAGTCCAAATTCAGTATTTAACATATATTAAATACTGAGTACGTTAAGAATTTGTATTTAATATAAATAATTGAGTAACGTTTCTTTTATTGTCATTTATTACCCATAATTGCCTTATTAAGACAAAGGCAATACATATATCTCCAAAAAAACCATTATAAAAGGGAGAATGCTGAACATTTGTAAGGACAGAGAATACTATTGGAATATACTAATTTACTTTGCTTTCTTCTGATCATCTTGTTGTTGTTGAAAGTCAATTTCTTTTATACATTCTTTTGATTATCAGTAACCCGTGTTCTTCTAAATTCTAGCTTTGACTAAAATTCTATTTTTTGGTTAAACAAAAAGGAAATCTATCTGCACTTATATGGCAAAGACCGGTATATTGTAACAAAATTTGGAGTCCACTATATTTGATTTGTATAGTGTAAATAAGTGCAATTTTACATTTACCAAGTTAAGGAAAACCTTTTTCTTAATTCGATATATATCACAGTGTAGTAAAAAAATAATTGGGTAAGAAAGATTTGACTGAAACTGTAGTTATGAGAATATATACTGATATTCGAACTTGTATATGCTGGTTAAAGTTTGACTGATGACTGTGTTTTTTGAGTTTAAAGAAAAAAATGCATGACATACAATATGTTCGTAATTGTATTTCTTTATGACTTCATTCTATGAATATTCATTGCATTTACATGTTCCAAAAATAATAGCATTTCCACGCTCCTTTATATTTACCGTATTTTTCAATATACATTTTCTTATGAAAATATATATTTAATATTCTTCGCGCAACGCGCTAGTATGGATACTAGTTTATATAAAGGGAGAAAGATATGGCCCTTCTCATTCCTCGTCGTCTTCCCCGACAGAGCCCCCATTTGCTCCACATTCAATTCTCCATTTCCTCTGTCAAAAAATGAAGTTGGCATGGGAGGCCAACCTCCATTGTTGGTCGACCTTGAGATGCCATAAAGAGAAGAATAAGAAGATTCTAGAAAGGGAGAAATTGAGGATTCTTTTCTATATATTGTAATTGCTGAAAGACAGTACATATATACACGTGTGTGAAACAATCATAGCTAATGACTATACTACCCTTCTATGACTAACTAACTAACTATTAAATACAATACACTGACATACTACAAAAATACATTAACCTCAATACCCCCCCTCAAGTTGGAGGTGAGGAGTTCACTGCCAACTTGTGTAGAAGGTCTGAATGTTTGATTCCTGTGAGAGCCTTTGTTAGAATATCAGCTAATTGATCATGAGTGGAAATGTGATGAAGCGTAATCAGACCATCGTGTAGTTTATCTCGCACAAAATGACAATCAACCTCTATGTGCTTTGTATAATGAGACAGTAGATAATGAGACAGTAGTTTGCTTTTTTGACTTCCAACTGATGGGGCTACCTCCAAAGAGCACTAGATACCCACTTACAGATCTCCTTGAGTCAGGACATGCTGCCCAGTCTGAATCACAGTAGGCTATGATCTTTTAGGAAGGATCATTGGACAGAAAAATGCCCAGAGTAGGGTCTTTCTTTATATACCTGAGTACATGTATAGCAGCTTTCAAGTGAGGCTCTCTTGGTGCCTGCATGAATTGACTTAGGTGTTGTACACTGTATGCAATGTCTAGCCTTGTGTTTGTGAGAAAGTTGAGCTTTCCAACTAGCTTTCTATAGTAGTATGGATCAGACATCAAAGGGCCCTCTTCAGCTTTCAGCTTGGCTAATGAATCCCGTGGAGATGAAACAGCAGAATACCCCATGCAATCATATTCTTTCAAAAGATTAGTGGTGAACTTCCTTTGGGAGATCAACACTCCATCATCTTTGTAAAGCATCTCTAGCCCCAAAAAGTAATGTAATTTGCCCAAGTCCTTTATTTTGAACTGATTGTGTAGGTAAGTCTTCAGTTCTTTAATTTCCTCAAGATTGGTTCCAATAAGGATCACACATCAACATATACAGCTACAAACACTGATGACTCACCTTGCTTTTTGTAGAACAAGGAGTAATCATTCGTTGAATGCCTAAAACCTTTAGAATACAGGGATTCTGCTAGCTTGTCATACCACTGTCTACTGGCTTGCTTAAGACCATATAAGGACTTCCTTAATCTGCACACAAGTTGTGTGTCCTCTACCTTCAGACCCTGTGGAATCTCCATGTATACCTCCTCATGCAAGTCTCCATGCAGGAATGCATTGTTGATATCCAGTTGATAGAGGTCCCATCCTTTCTTCACTGCAATGCTAATCAGGGCTCTAACAGTGGTCATCTTCACCACTGGGGAGAAAGTTTCTGTGTAGTCAATCCCAGCTTCTTGTGTGTATCCCTTTACCACAAGCCTTGCCTTGTATCTTTCCATACTACCATCTGCTTTGCGCTTTATCTTGTACACCCACTTGCACCCTATGACATTCTTTCTTGCAGGCAACTTAACTAGATCCCAAGTATGGTTAGCATATAAGGCTTCAAATTCTTGTGTCATTGCTACTTGCCAGGCAGGATTCAAGGTTGCCTCCTCATAAGAGTATGGTTCACAATCATGTGATATGTTCTTAATTAATTCCTAACTATCATGGCTCAATGTATTAAAAAATACAGAATGGTGATTTGAGAAAAGGGCAGTTAATGAATTATGAGGTGACTGGTGTTCAGGATTTGTGGTGTTGTTCAAGTGACTGTTTGTCTGCAAGTTTGGTAGTGTATAGATATAGTTTTTGAGGTGTGAGGGTGTGCTAAGGGTCCTGCTTGACCTTCTGTGGTAATTGGTTGCTTGATCAACAATAGGTTCCATGTCATGTGGTGTTTGGTTGGATGGTGTTATATGTAATTCTGGGTGCACTTCAGGTGAGGTATTTGGTTCTGGATTTTGATTTTTCATATGGAGTGTGATTTGGTATATCTGTAGAGTGTGACAGATGATTATTATCTGGTGTATCAGATATGGGACTTTCAGTGACAGAATCTGGTGCATCCCTATCATGGTAGCAATGACAGTCAAATGAATTTACTGTGGAATAGGGACAAGAGTAATTGTGATTTATCATGTGCAACACAGAAGGGAAGGAAAAGTGTTTAGGAGAAGTGGCAAAAGGAAAAATGTTTTCATGAAATATAACATCTCTGGACACATGTACCTTCTTTGTGGCTAAATTGAAAACTCTATATCCTTTGGTTCCAAAGGGATACCCTACAAATACATGAGGAGTAGCTCTAGGTTCAAATTTGTCTTTGTGAGTTTTGAGTATAGTGGCATAACACATGCAACCAAAGTTTCTAAGGTGTGAGTAGGTTGGTTTTCTGTTATAAAGGAGTTCAAATGGGCATTTGTTGTTAAGAATTGAAGAAGGCAATCTATTTATCAAATATGTAGCAGTCAGAATACACTCTCCCCAGTATTTCATTGGTAATTTGGATTGATAAAGTAAGGCTCTGGCTGTTTCTAATAAGTACTTGTACTTTCTCTTAACCACACCATTTTGTTGTGGTGTATATGGGCAAGTTTTCTGATAGATTATACCCTTTTCTTGGAAATATAACATGGCTTCATTGTTCATAAATTCCAGCCTATTGTCTGACCTAACAGCCTTGACTGATGCATTGAACTGGTTTTCAATCATGGAAATAAGGGATTTGATGGCTTGGAGAGTGTTACTTTTACTACTCAAGAGATGAGTCCAGGTTGATCTACTAAAATCATCTACCACTGCAAGGAAGTATTTGTAATTGTCATAAGTTGTTATGTGATAGGGACCCCATAGGTCTATATGCAAGAGATCAAATATTTTGGTGGTAGATGATGTTTTTTGACTGAAGGGTAGTCTTGTCTGCCTTGCCATGGGACAGACATGGCAAGTGAATGGCTGTTTGTGGGAAAGTTCAACGGGTATAGTGGAAATAGTTCTCATTTTCACAAAAGGTACATGACCTAGTCTGTTATGCCATAGATGTTCATTATTATCTTTATGAGATGATAAGGATAACAGAAGAGAAATCTCATCAGAGGAAAAGTCAGTTTTATTGCTTGAGTGAAGGGTATTTACATTGACATTGACATTGTTGTGTGACTGAGATGACTTATTTACACTTGACAAGGACTTCATAGGTGAATTGTGACTCTTTCCTGTATATACAACATCAGTCAATGCAGGAAAATAAGGATGAGAACAAAGGTTCACAGAAACAGAAAAAGAACCAGATTCTGAACATCCATGACACTCAGGGCAAAGGAAGTACAATCCACTTCTTGCCTTACCAATCTCCAGAGGCCTCTTCATTGAAGGGGCCTGCATCATACAAAGGTATTTGCTGAAGTTAACTATGCAATTGAGATAATCAGTTAAGGAATGAATAGAGATAAGGTTGTACTTGAAAGTGGGTACATAGAGAACTCTAACTAAAGTTAACATAGGACCAAGGAATGCATCTCCAATCTCTGTCACTTTCATTCTATATCTATTTGGTAGGGTGACCAGGAAAGGATAGGGTAAGGTTCTGACATTTTTTAAAAAGGACTTTCTATATGTCATGTGATTTGAGGCTCCACTATCTAATATCCATAGGTCAGCAATTGATTTAGAACATCTACACACAGTTGTTTCAGCAATCTCATTATAAGTGGAACAAGCTAGAATACATGCAAAGTTTACAGCTCCACAAGTCATGTTGTTGTCGAGGCCCTCTCATGTGTTTCTCCAAGGAAATTTCTCCAGTAGGCTAAGCAATTGATTATACTGCTCCTTTGTCAAGCTCTGAAGTCCCTGGCTTTGATTTCCTTCTTCCATTTCCTCAGAATCTACATGAACATTTGCAGCAGATGCGACATTTCTCCCCTTTGTGAATTTGAAGTCTTGTGGAAATTCATGAATTCTATAGCAATTGTCCCTGGTGTGTCCTGGATTTTTGCAATAGTCGCAGAACATCCGACCCCTAGGAGGTGGGTAACTTGATTTGTTAGAATTGTGTGAGTTTGCCCCAACATTGCCTCCCCTCTGATTGTAGTTTGTTCTGAACTTGGCATTTCCAGGTCCATTTGCATTTAATGAAGTTGATTCCATAACTAATTTGTTGTTCGGCCTAACCTCTCTCTGTTTTTCCTTCTGGATCAGGATAGAGAAAGCCTGAGCTATGTTTGGTAATGGATTCATCATCAATATACTACCTCTCACAACTGTATAAACCTCATTCAGGCCCATCAGGAACTGAATCATCCTACGATCCTGCTCAGCCTTATGCATATTCGCTTTTGCACCATAAGTGCATTGACAATTGCACTGTGTATGTGCATTCAAGGTGTTCAATTCTTCCAAAAGTCGTTTCATTTTTGTGTAGTACCCTGTGATATCCAAAGTCCCTTGACTAAGATCATTAATTTCTTTCTGCAGTTGATACAGCTTCGCTCCATTAGTCTGATCATACCTATCCTCCAGTTCCTGCCACAATTCCTTAGCATCATTGACATATTGCAAGCTGTCAGCTAGATCCTTCGAGAGTGAGTTCAAAATCCACGATGTAACCATATCATCGCAACGAGCCCACTGGTCGTAGATCGCTTCATCGATATTAGGTTTCTTACACTTTCCATTGACGAATCCGACTTTGTTCTTTACTGACAAAGCCCTAAGAACTCCTCTTCTCCAGGATCTATATCCGGTTCCGTCGAAAACAACAGGAACTAGTGTTTGTCACACCTCCTTTTTCCGGCACCGCTAGGGTACAAGGAGTTTTTCCAATTAAAGGACAATCGAAATGAGATTTGTTTATTTATTTCAGAGTCGCCACTTGGTAGATTTTAGGATGTCCCAAGTCACCAATTTAATCCCGAATCGAGGAAAAGAATGACTCTGTATTACA